TTTCTGTAGGGGTGGGCTAACAGCACAATTGCACTTGCTGTGCAGCAGAGTGAAGCTGGCTAGTCTTGTCTTGTTACTGTGTATTAAGCTCAAACAAGTTGAGCGAGTATTTGTGGGTTTAGGCTGACTGCCACACAGTTCTAGAGTGGAAAAAAGCAAGTCTTATACACATGCATTCTCTGCATTTGAACTTAAATTGCATGAGTGAATGGGTTTGGAAAGTGAAATCTTGAGGCTCAAGTGACATGTCGGATGCTATTGCAGTCTGCCGTATACAAACACCAACTTCAGATTACTTTGCCTCAATGTTGTATTCAGGGAAACTTCTCCAGGTCTGGGCATTATCTTAGCAATTGCTCCAACACCGAAGGTCTCCAACTGACATTGTGCTAAAATCTGAGTTTGTGCCCTAAGGCTGTTGGTTTGAAGCAGTTGGAGCAACAGTGACTGATGAGCTTACTGATGTCAAAGCAGCTCTAGTCCAGTATGAGACCTTTCATACAAAGCTTCAGCCTGGAGTGAGCTTTCAAAGCAGTTCCACAAATCCCTCAATTAGGGGTTTTTTTCAGGAAACGGACAATCTTGACTGCACCAGTACCAACATTGCTACTTGAATTGATCTTAACTTTGTAAATGGTCTCCTTTTCTTGATGGGTGTTAACATACCACTAAGGCTTTTCCACTTCTCTGCCATGAATAAGTACCTCTTTTAGAGGAGTTTTTTTAATTGTTGGTCTCAATTCCAGGTCGATAAACTGGATGCATCGGAGTCTTTGAGAAAGGAAGAGGAGCAAGCTACAGAAACACAACCTATCGTTTATGGTAATGCTTTAGTTCATGTGTTGTCAGTAACACATTTCACTTTTAAAACAACACTTCTCTAGTCATGTGTTTTTCCAAGGAAGTCAGGACATGGTTTAGTGGGCATGGTGGTGTTGGATTGACGGTTGGATTCGATGTTCTTAAAGGTCTTTTCCAACCTAAACGATTCTATGATTCTAAGCCCTTGGAAATGAGAACGTTCTTCATGTGAAATCAAGTCTTAAAGGAATGTGTTCCAAAATACTAGATAAAGTACCACTCTGATGCTGATGCTGCTAAGACTGGATATGGACTGCAGGATTTAAGATTGTCCCAGCTCATTAAGGAAGTGCTTTCTAAAGAAAAGGAGTGTGGGAGCTGTACTATTCCAGATTTCCAGCAAGTGCAGTATTTGGAACTTGCTCAACACACTTTATGTCCGTCTCTGGTATTTCCTTTGTATCCAGGTTATTCCACTAATTCTAGTAAGAGTTACAAATATGAATTCCATCCAGTGATAAAGGAGCCTCCAGTGTATAGCTGACATCTCTAGTCACCACACCCTGAAGCAGCACAATAATTGTGGACTATTGGCCATAAAGCCACTGGGTGTAATGTTTCAAGACCTAGCTCTGAGTACTCATGTGACAAGTAACCCTATCTACACTGTCTCCAAAGCAAAAAATCTTGCAACAGTTGTCTCTATGCACACTTAATATTCTTAATATGTTTGAATTGCTACTACAAGGCTGAACTAGTCTGGAAACTGTGTCCCGGCCCAACATGCTATTATTATAACTGCGAACTGTTGGGCTGTCTCATTAAATTGTTATCATAAGTAGCTGAAAGTCAGATGTTTGACAAAGATGTAATTCTCCAGAATGAACTATTCCATTGTAGTGAATGTGGCTTATGGGCATGTTTTAGAAGGTGTTTCTGTACTTCAGGACTGCAGGAGTCAAGCCTCTGCATCAGGCTCACCGTAGCATAGGACTCTGGCCTTAAATTAAGTAGAGTTACTAATACAATTGGAGCAGGAAATGCTATTCCAAAGCCAAACTGATTCTGGCACTGGGTAAGCTCACTGCCTAAGGAATAGGAAGCTGTTCTGTTCTCTCTCATCAGGTTTCTAAGAACTTAAACTACTTGCCCCAGATTTTAAGAATCTGTCAGTGTCCATGTACTTCATAGTGTAGTATTTTTAGCTATATACTCTGTTGTCCTGAGGTTTTGTGGGGAGATACCTGTTCTGGCTGCTAAGGACCCCAAACCAGGTCAACGGGGACTTAACTGTTAAACATACAAACATCTACAAGGAAGTTGCAGGAATTCTGCTGACTGAAATCTTGGTACTGAGGAATAAAGACGAAACTGTTCTGTCTTCCAGGTCAGCCACAGTTAATGTTGACAGCAGGACCCAGTGTCGCAGTTCCTCCACAAGCACCTTTTGGCTATGGCTACACTGCACCTCCATATGGGCAACCACAGCCTGGCTTTGGGTACAGCATGTAAGATGCAGCACAAGTCAGTTTGGAGCTAGCGTATTTTCTTACTGAAACTCCACCGTCCCTCCCCGCTTTAACTCATAACAGGGAAAAGCAAGAGTTCTGCCTCGTGTTCTTGTAACCTTTATTTCATGAAGGACTGTTTTTTCTAGCGCAAACTATTTGAATCACTTATGTTAAATCTTTTTCACATTCCATGTCATTTAGACTTTACTTTAAAAGGGGAATAGTTTAAACAACTTTGTTCAAGTGGGCTTTTGCAGGACTGCTTATTACCATTAAGTCTATTGTGAAGATTCTGATTTGCACTCTATAGTGTTACACTCTAATATTGAATCTTAAGTTCATTGTATGTGAGCAGCTTACAGTATGTACTGTCTATTCTAAACGCATTTAAGTCTCACTGTATATTCGGAGAAAGCTAAAGTGAAGATACTTGTATTTGACCTTGCAAGACTGCTGACAAGAGACAACACTAATCAGCATATCCTACCTTGGTTGGATTGCATAGCTCTAAAAGAATTTAAAATGCGTACAGACAACCTTGCCTGACTTAAAATGAGTAAAAGTTTTTTTTTTTCCTTAACCTATGCAGGTTTTTCCAGTTATGCATATAGAAAATGCTAGTGTCTTTTTGCTCACTCCATATGTAACAGATGACCTTATGTTGTGCTGTATCCTGTGCTTTTGTGGGACATTCCATTCAGGAACAGAGCACCATGATTCCAATCTGTGTATTTACTAACCCTGCCCTGAGGTTTGTGTATGTTGGATATTGTGGTGTTTTAGATCACTGTTTTGAGTGTACAGAAGAGAGAATTCAAGCATATTGCTGTTCAGTTTTGTTTGTGCAATTTGAAATTACTCAATTTAAAAATAAATTACTGGACTGTGGACATGCTGCATAGTGGTAGCTTCACTTTACTGTCTTCAAAAAGGACCTTCGAACTCGACCCAAATATTACAGTGCTAGTAGTATGGGGCATGCAAGTGCGTACAGTCAAGGGTATGAGGGGCCATTAGAAGAGCAGCAATGGAGACCATTAGTGGTGTCTTGCACTGAGGGGGCAATACAAGAAAATATGTAACGCTTTTTCTATAGGAAGATTATGCCAGAGAGAAGAAAATAGCACTTTTCAATAGTTGGCTGCATTGTGGTCAACTACAGCATATTTGACCAGGTGATGCGTTAGGATTGTAGTAGGGTGTGTCAGTTAATTTGAGATCATGTTCTAGGTATGTAAGTTGCCTTAAATATATTTAGCTTCAAATAAAATTGACTTAAATGTTTCTCTATGAATACTGTCATATTTGAGTGTAATGAGTATTACAGCACTAGCTGTATTTGTGATAGCTGTTAGAAGCTTCTGTCTCTTAACCAGGAGGCGTCCTCAGTGTCAGGTTCCAGCTCTGAGGCTGAATCCCCTCCCTGCTTGCTCCTGTGAACTCCACAGTTGTATTGTGTGATGCTGCCAGCTGAGCATTGCAGCAGTTCCATGTGTAACGGTGGGTGTAAGAATCTGGCGGGGGGGCTAAACCTGCCACAGGCTGTAGGTCTTTGTTCAAGAGTGAGGTGGATCAGAAGTCTGCAGTGAGTACTGTCAGTCTTTGAAAAGTATTATGCCTAAATAAGAGGTGCAGTATAAAAACTTCTCTATTTTCTGTGTTTATTGCACTTGCTTATGCTTGCATTTCAATACCTCTGACACTCCCTCTGGGTCTGTTAACTTGACTGATGGAGACAAACCCTTCCGTTCTCTGTTTTACAACATGTTTCATGGGTACTCAACAGGAAGACATGGCTGAGAGGCTGTAAAAGACATGTGCTCAACAGCAGGATTCTCAAAACCCAGCTTTGTTACAAAACTGACTCATAGAAAGTCCACCTAATTTAGAAGTGGAGGGAACTTGCCTTTTAACAGTGTTAGAGCTGCAAGGGTAGAATTTACACATGAGCCATGATCAGTGTGCTCTGAACTCTGTCTGGTAACATCTGTTACAGAATACTTCCTTAAGAAGGAGGACCTGTTTAATTCTAGTGAAACAAGATTTAAGTTTGCTCCTGTGTGACAAGCTGTTTATATGTAGTATTCCTTGGCTAAATGGGGCATGCTGACCTGCTTGCAGGTTCCTGCAAGTGCAGTAGCTACACAAACACCTCCAGCATGGAGTGTGGCCTACAGTGTCTCCCCACGACTATTTATTGGCTCTTCTCAAGGTCTGGGCTGCAAAACCTGTTTAACTTGGTCAGTCTTGCACCACACACAAGCTATTGCATCAGTTACTCTATTAGAAAGCGTTTGTGCAGGAAGTTGGCTACAGCTACCCCCAGCTGTATGGGGCAATTTTTAACTGCTTTAGCAGCTCATCCTTACATTCTTTAATTCAGAATCTCTTCAGAAAAACCTCCTGTAAGGCAGAGAGGGGAAACCTGTCATTCTTAACACATGGGATAAATGCGCTTAAGCTTTACTAATGCTTCTGCTCAGCCAGTAAACCAGAGACAGTGCAAAATCCTCAATTAATTGCACAAGTCTTAGATGTACTGGGTTCTTTCCTATGGGTAGTAACATTCTGCTAGCTCTGCTCTCCTCGCCTCCACTAAGCCCAGCATTTTCTTTCCCACTTTAGAACAAAATATAGCAGCTACAGAAACTCATGGTTTGCAAATTTGAATCTCTTACAAAACCTGGTTATTTTATTTATACTGAGGGAACATATGGAGAAATCCCCAAACTTGGGTTTTATGCCTTCATTACTGACATACACCATTGCATTCAGATTTCTTTGGTCCTCAGTTTAGAAGAGTTTTAGGTGACCAGAAACTCTATCTACTACATCAGCTGGTCCCGGTCCAATACCAAGGACGGTCTGGGAGCCTGGAGCTATCTGAGTACGACCCGCATCTTGTATTAAGCTCACAGTCAGTCCGAGGTGTTTAGCATCAGCCAGGAGTTGGATCAGAGTCTCTTCATCAGGAGCTTTGAGGACCACTTTAGGTTGTCCGCAGTACTCCCACTGTTTCAGGAGTTCAGGATTTCTTCTCTGAACTTGCTTGTAGGCGGAAACAGCAGCATGGGAACACTGTGCTGCTACTTTACCCTTTCCCATCTTCAAATCGTTGCGGACAATCAGCACCATCTTGAACTCCCCGGACTCTCCCATGATGTCAGCTTTGCTCCCCAGGTTGTCGGCAGGCGCCGTCACTCCAGCTTTGGAGTGTCTTAAAAGTCTCCCGCGAATGCCCCATCCTAGGCACACTCCGCACGCAACTCCGGCAATGACACTGAGGACCCCGGGTTTAGAGAGATAATCCATGATGGATTTTGGAGACTGGCTGTGAAAGGGGAGAGGGGAAAGGCGGGATTTACTCGAGCATTTTTTCAGGTTGTGAGAGTGCACCTGGTTATTTGGAGACAAACAGCATTTGTTAAAAAAACAAAAGGACTGTTCCACGTTCGTGCATTGGGAAAGGATGTTCAGAGACACCTTCCTCGGCGCACCGTCTCCTCCTTTCCCAGCGACAGCATTTTAATCGCAACCACGTCACCGGTGACGGTGCAAAACCTACCGGCGGTGGGCTTCAGCTGGGGAAGCAGAGCTAAGAAAAAAAACCAAAAAAACCCCACCGCAAATTATGTGCAAGTTACACCTAAAAATGGCGAGAGAAACGGTAAAAGCGTGGGGGTTTTTAAAATCAATACCCAAAATCCCCTCGAGGGCTGCCTCCCGGGAGGGGGCGAGGGGCGGACCCAGAGCCGCCTCCAGCTCTAACGAAGGCCGCGGCCCCGCGTACCGGCAGCGACTTCACCGGGTAAATCTAAAACCTGACGGAAGAAAGAACGCAAAAAAAAAAAACCCGAGAGCGAAACCAACCGCGGACCCTCAGGGAAACACCGGCGGCTGTGAGGGGCTTCCCCCCCCCCGCGCTTACCTGCCGCTCGCCCACCAGGCCGCCGCCGCCGTCGCCCGGAGATGACGCCACCAGCGTCGAGGCGGGAACAGGGGCTGACTGGCGGGAGAGAGGAAGGCGCGCGGGAAGTGACGCCTCCCGGTGGGCGGGAAAGGGGTGGGCTTGGCCCCGCCCTTACTTCCGGGTTGGCCCGGGCTCAGCGGGAGCCACCGGTGCGGGAGTGCGGTGAGTGCGGCGATGCGGGCCCGGGGCCCGGGGCCCGGGGCCCGGTCCGGGTTCGGTTTGGCTCGGATCAGCTCCCGCAGGGGTTTCCCGGGCGGGTGTGGATCCGCGCCAGCGTTCCCTCAGCGCTACCCGCCCCGTTTTTACCTCAGCACCGACCTCGCGACCGCTCCCCTCACGG